GTAACAAACGAGCACACAGTCCACCTGATGGTAAGTGGATGCTGTGGCCCATAGACATCTACATTTATCCTTGATTAAGAATCAAAACGCAGATGCGTCGTCACCCTTGAGAACTAAGATGGAATTCCTCGTTTACAGTAAAAAAGGGTCTCTGGTTCTCTACACTCACCATACGAAACACAGCAGTATTACGCTGCTGTTTTACAATGGTATTCTGTGAGAGCGTGGTCCTTCCCCGGTCGAGCTGACCCATTAGTGCTACAACTATAATATAGCTGCAGCGTGGCTCTACCACGTAAAACATGTTCATGTCGAATCACATCCAAAGGCATACCGCACTCGTGAATTGCTAGAACTATACTGTATCTTTATCATATTACTTGAGTGATAGCAATTGTTCAGGCTATGATCACTATTAATGTATTATTTTTTTTTTTGGAATAAATATATAATATAGAAATCTCATTTCTATAACGTTGCTGAGGCCCTGGAATCTTCTATTCTGGCTCGAGAGTCCGTATGGTGCCTTGAGCACGAAATAGAGTGATGGATACGCCATCATCACAATTTAAAAACAATCGTAACGCAACAAGCTACTGACCCATACATTTTAATGTGGAGTTACTTGAATTTGGTTTTCAGATCAATAATTAAGCATTTTGATAATTTGTTATAGAAATGGAAAGTAATAAAAATACATATACCGCAATATTGAGTAGGCGCACCCTTATGAACTCGACAATGGAGTCGATCAGAGTCTCCATGACATCAGCGTATTCCGTTTATGCCAGATTCTGTCAGGAAACAACTTTACATGGTCTCAAGCATACTGTCACAGCAAATTTCCACTTTCTAGAAAGGTATACTATAATTTTATATCATTCAGTCCACTTTACGTTCATAATTTTATAACTTGACATTGACGTTTATTATTCGTTAATTTATGTAATGAAATATGAAATTTTATATCTGGCCAGTTTATGTTATTATTTACTGAAACTTTTCGAATATATATCCTGTATTAGCACGTCAAAGTCCTCAACTTACAATGAGTCTTTCTTTCCTTTTGAAGGAAGGATTTGGCTCTGCGTTAACTTAATGAGGGTTGAGGGCAAAGACATTTTTAAGTATATTTAAATATCTTTGGTTGAGGGCTAATAATCTTTTAATCACCAGATGTCGCTACTTGTAAGTGAGGTAAAGTTTCTTGTTAATGTATGTGTTGTAATATCAGTTAATGAGAAATTAGTTTTATAAAAAGTTTATCAGTTTCTAGAGTATACTATATTAATACACAAAATAGTGTCTCAGTGGTTTTATCTTCAATTTTTTTGCACTTTTTTTGTAAAAGAGCATGCGGCTCGCCTGATTGCACCTGATGGTAAGTGACTACCGATGCCCATGAACAACTGCAACACCAGGGGAATTGCAATTGCGTTGCCGGCAGTGCGAGGCGCAAAGCACAAAATTAGCTCTTTTGTGTTTTTTCTACTTTTACTTAATTATATTTATAGTTTAGTTTATTTATGTTTAACTATGAAAGAAACATTCACGTTTACATTTTCTTAATAAAATTATTGTGAAGTGGCGCCGCCCTGGTGGCAAAAAAGCGGATGCTCCCTGCCCAGACCATGGGCAATTTTTTTAAAAGTAATTGTGATGTGTTGTACTTGTATGACAGGCTAAGAATTGGGTGCGTTTGGCAGAAAAAAGCGCTAGCAAGCGCTTGTAAGCAAAATGGCGATCGTAAGCGGTAAGCGCTGTCAAATCGTAAGTAGCTATTTTCCTCCAGGACACGATGTTAGTTTTAACCGGGGAATCTAACCTAATTTAAATATATGTTTGTAAAGTATTCATATTAAAAACTTACCAATCATGAGTTTTTAATAGCATGTATATGTTTATTCATGTCATTATATTACTTAAAACTAATATTGCACAAAACAACTTATAAACTCTACTTCAAAACAAACAAATTAAATAAGCAAAATGGCGGATTGTGTCAGCGCTACTGAAGTAGCAATCGTGTCCTGGCCGAAAACTATTTTAGCGCTTATAAGCGCTTGCTAGCGCTTTTTTCTGCCAAACGCACCCATTGTGTTCGTGACAATGTGGTTTCTTTTTAATTATTACATGCCAGTGCTTATCTACAATTCCTCCGAATGGAAATCGATGATGGAGCCTTAGATAGTAAATCACACTGTCTTATAGGAACAAAAGTCTATTCACTCTTTCCTTTTTGATACCCGTATTGTAATCGGACGAAAAAATAGACTTACTTTGCTTACTTTGCAAGGACACCTAGTTTACTTGCAACTGTTTTGGACTTGGGTCATCGAACTACCTAATCCCCATGCCACACATTCGTCGAGTGCCATGGGAAGTAGCGAGGAAAGGAGGCAGAGACGTAGTGTATCCACAATACTCGTCATTCCGCACGTCATGCTCCTCGTCATGCCCATCGCTGCCTCTTTTGTCAGTTTTTTGAGCGAGAGTCAAAGGACTGGCTATATGAGCGCAAGTAGCCAGCCACTTAATCGCGCGAACGCAGTTCGAAACGAACGCTCGTTACTGAAGTATCGTTCTATTACGATGTATAGATGTCATCCACCATCTCCGTTGGCGAGTACGACTACCTATATTTCTTTTTTATGACATTGATATAATTAGCTATACTAAATAAACATATAGCGCACATGCTGCGACAGTTTCAACAACCATTGCGTTGCTAACGCGAGCGGCCTACTTATGGAGAACAAATCTGTTAAAAGCGTCCGTAGAAAAGCGCTAAATAAGGGTGGCGCCACTGTAGCTAGAGTGTAAATTTTAAAGAACTTTTTATAATTTTTTACTGCACAGACTTTCACCATAATTCTGTTTATAATAATTATTTTATTGTTTTTATTTTCAAAATCACTCAACGTGTTTTACAGCGACCCTCTAGCTACTAGAGCGCTGTTATGGAGAGTTTTTGAACTGTTATTTACTGCTTACAGATGGACACATTTTCGAATATTCTCCTATGGGAAATTGTCCTCCTTACCTCTAAACTCCATGGGCCTATGATAGTAGTCTATTATAGTGTTAGCTATAAGCTAGCTTTTATAGTTAATTGCGCGAGTAGAGTAGTGTGTGGGCAGAGAGAGCAACATCGCGGCTACGCGAGGAGCAGAGCGATGAACAGCGCGAGGAGCATGGCGTGGCGGAGCCATTAATACTTTTTAATGCTTTTCACAGAAAAAAATATCTTTCAGACTCCTCTGGCTTGTTCTAACGTTCAGCGCGTTCGCTGGGGCTGTATTCTGTGCTCTAAACCAACTGTCTCGGTACATCTCTGAACCAGTGGTAGTGTCTTTGCAGCACGATTACCGCGCCTGGTGGACCACTTTCCCAGCCATCACTGCTTGTTTCCTCGTCCGTGTGCACCCGGAGTTCGCGAAAAGAGAAATTGAGAGGTATATTGTCAGTATTACTCCAAAGTGTGTTGTCACAAATTAACCATCAGTTTATTGGTCAAATTTACTAGTTAGTATTATTCGAATGGGTACACCATTTTTTGATTTTGTATACCATTATTTGGATGGGTGTCCACCAAGGTTGATAGCACCTTATTACTTATTTGTATTGTGTTGTAGTATTCTGTTCGGTGGAGTTGGCCAAGTTGACTTTCTACAATCTTTATCACTAATACGCGTAGAATACTGTAAAAGTTAATAAAATCAAAGTTAACTAAACATTAAGATATAATATGATATGTTATTCCGTACATTCAAGTCATCTTGGCTAGCCCCACTTCATTTCAATAGCTAAACGGCACCCACTTCTGTGCTGCCAGTGTAATTTTCTATCGTAAGTAGTTCTCTGAGGTGACTTTGGGGCTTTTTTTGGTTAAAAGTTAATAAAAGATATTTATATTTAATTAATAAATCCTAATTCGTACACACTCGTTTAACATATGTCAGCCGTGGTAGGTACCAGGGCTGAGGCTTAGGGGCTTAGCGCTTGCTGTGAATTTCACAATACGCGAGCAACCGGCGTTCGATATCTGCCGGCGCCAATGAAATTATTAATTGCAATTTTAAGTGCTGATTTACCACGTGCTCGGCGGTAAAGTAAAAGATCGTGAGGAAACCTGCATGTCTAAGGAATAAAATTAAAAAAAAATCATGTGATGAATGAAAAAAAAAAGACAAGACTAGTTACGTTGTACCAGTTCTGGCTCACTGAGTCAGAAGTGGTACAACGTTCGTCGACTCACGATCCTAAAAAAAAAGGGTTTTTGCGTAGGATGCACGGTTCCGGAGATGTGCAGATCAATTAACTCTTATCTAATTGATATCCGATGAGGGCTTCCACCGTCATTAGCGCCACATTGTTATTTATCTATTGGTCATTGAATACCGTCATTGTCTATTTTTCCTCGGCGTATGCGTCGGCTTATCAGTGCTATTGTATTATACTTCTTTGTTCTTATCTAAAACGCTAATCTGAATCATCAATAAAACACATTACCTAATTTTGTTACAATTTTTATTTACAAAATACAAAATCTTATTACTTATTATCTATAAAATCGTTTTCGTTTAAAAATCGTCGGTTCGGCGCAGGTCGCCATCGTATTCACACGTTTCTACGCGAATCCTCTTGCAAAACCAGTAACCAAGACTCCTGTCTTACGGCGCTTAACACAGACCTCCGTGTCTACGGTCGCTAGACGCTTCCATACCGGAAAACCAACCGTCAAGACCCCTGGCGTATGGCGCTCAACCCGGGCGCTCAGTGTCTCGTTTGTCTGGTTATTTCCGAACAAAAGCAGTGACCACTCGGTTACTCGGTTACTCCGTGTCGCACGGACGATACTACGCTTAAGTGTAAGTGAAACAGTGATTGTGTGGTGCATAAGTGACTAGACAATTATTGAACAGAGCGCTTGCGCATTTGTAAATAAAAATATCGTTTTGCATTTCTATTATATCGACTTATTTATAAACTGATACAACATGATTCGATCACCAAATGGCAATGAATCAAAATACAACTCACAACCAGACTTGTCCAGAAGGACGGAAGAAGAAAGTAATGTTAGTATCCGTAAAAGAAAAAAAATGGACCACGACTGTGACTGCAAAGCTGAGATACAAGGACTACGCAGTGAGGTATCGCGTATGAATAATCTATTAGAAAATTTCGTTATATCACAGGAGAAATTAATGACCGATATGCGTGAAAATATAAAAACATTGAACGAAGAGATCAAAGATAATCAAATCCTCGACTTCGGGGATAGTAAAAGACCAGGACAACATCAAAGGATGTATAACAGATTTAAATAGCAAATTTTCTACGCACGAAGACAGGCTCACTTGTCTTGAAGGTAGTCTCAAGACATCTACCACTACTACCATTGATTCATCAGAGCCGAATCAGTTGAGGAAATATGAAGAAATAATTCAGGAAATTAAAGAGAGAAAAAAGAGAGAAAAAAATATTATTATAGTTGGCATATCAGAACAGACTGCTACCAGTACTGAGGAGAGGGTTGCAAAAGACGAAGCTGAGGTTTTAAACATAACAGCCGTGGTAAGCAAAGACATTCCCAAGCCGATTAAAATTTTTCGTATTGGCAAATACAAACCTGAAAAGACTCGTAGAATTAAAGTCTGTTTTGACAAACCAGAGCCTGCAATGGTACTACTACGTAACAAAGCCAAATTACCATCTAACATCAAAATTTTCTCTGACCAAACTCCTGCTCAACAAAAGCACTTTCTAACCATAAAGAATGAACTTACAAGACGCAAAAATAACGAAGAAGATGATATTACGATAAGATACATAAATGGCATACCAAACATCGTTAAATCTGTCTCAAAAAACTCCAACGGCCAATAAGGCATACAAAGAATTCTGATATATTATATCAAATTGTAAGTGACTACAGACTCATACAGACAAGAAAATCAGGTGTTTCATTTCTCTACCTAAATGCAAGAAGTATCAGAAAAAAAGGAAAGTTAGACGAACTTAAATGTATTCTAAAATCGACACCAACACCTATACACGTAATATTAGTAACAGAAACCTGGATACGAAATGAAGAACAAGCCCGACAATTACAGATCGATAACTACACTCATTATTATAACTACAGGAACGATATCATAGGTGGAGGAGTATCAGCGTACATACACAACAACTTGAAACATCACTCTATAGAATCGACGTATCTAGAAGGAAACAACTTCTTATGGATACACCTAGAAAAATTCGGAATCAATATTGGCGTGGTATACAAACCCGGACATACCAATGTTGAAAAGTTTTTAAAAATATATGGTGCACAATTGCTACAACAAAAGAGATCGATTATATTCGGAGATTTAAACATAGACCTACTTACGAATGACAAAACTTCAACTAAGTACAAACATACAATAAGAGAATCAGGCCACAAGTTATTAAATAAAATTCACAAAAAATATTGTACTAGAGAGTCAGAGACGAAGAAATCTATCATAGACCATGTCAGCACAAATCTTCAATGTGAACAATTCAATTTTGTTATTATTAACTCGTCCATGACAGACCACAAACAGATCTTCCTGCAATTGAATAAATATGAACCACACAAGAATTTAAGAACGACTTATGAGGCAATAGATTACAAAAGAATGTATACTGAAATGGAATCATATGAAACGGAAGCCACTGCAGACACTTACGAATATCTTGAAAATAAAATAAAGCAATGCGTAGCACGTAATCGAGTAGTGAAAACGAAAACACTGAACCCGCCTAAAAATGACTGGATCAACAGTGATATAATCACTGGGATTACCCAAAGGAACTACCTATGGTTGCAACACAAAAAAAATCAGGATGACAAGAGACTAGAACAAGAATACAAGCAAAAAAAAGACACAATAGCTAAACTGATACAAAATACGAAAAATTCCTACTACTATAAACTATTTACAAAATATACTAATAATCCTAAAAAGATGTGGGCTCTTATAAATAACCTAGCAAATAACAAAACAAAACAAAGTAGTGCTCCTCCAAAGCTCTTAATAGACTCTGAACTAATTAGCGACACAGATGAAGTTTGTGATATTTTTAACAAATATTTTTCTACTATAGGTTCTCTATTAGCAAACAAAATACCTAACAAATATCACGATAGTACTTTGAATCCTGATTTCATACAACAAAAAATAAACGATCATAAACTGTCTGCCTTTACCCCATGTAATGCAAATGAAATAAATAAAATTATTCACAACCTAAATCCCAATACTAGTAGTGGAATAGACAAAATCAGCACAAAAGTCCTAAAATGTTTGCAAGATCTAATCTCTGAAGGCCTGGCACATTCAATAAACAAACTTATGACTGACGGCGAATTTCCCGATACTTTGAAGGTTGCAAAAGTAACACCAATTTACAAATCCGGGCCCACAACTGACCCAGGAAACTATCGTCCTATTTCTGTACTACCAATATTGTCGAAAATCCTAGAAAAAGTAATACATAACCGATTATCAAGTTACCTGGATTCCTTTAACATTATATCTCCACGTCAGTACGGTTTTCGGTCAAAAAGCAATACAACTGCGGCAATAGTAGATTTAACAACAAAAATTAAAGAAAACCTGGATAAGAAAAGGATTGTTCTAGGCATTTACATCGACCTGAAAAAAGCCTTTGATACCGTAAGTCACCAGTTACTTTTAAAAAAGTTAGAGCACATTGGTATCACAGGTAGTGCCCTTAAAATGTTTGAGTCGTACCTAACAAATAGAGTACAGATAGTCAAAATAGATAATAACCAAAGCAATACCCAACCCATTACATATGGTGTCCCACAAGGGTCCATATTGGGACCGCTTCTTTTCCTTATCTATGTTAACAATATAACGGATTTAAGACTACACGGCCATTTAACTTTGTACGCAGACGATACATGCCTATTCTATTTCGGTACAAATATGGACGAAATCATCTCAAAAGCTCAAGAAGACCTTAACATGTTGTTTGAATGGTTTCAGTCCAACCTGTTAACAATCAACATCTTAAAAACATGCTATATTATCTACAAGTCGAAAAATAAAATAATTCCCCCGCATGCTCCTTTAACAATTGACAACATTCCACTCGAACAAAAAACTTGTGAAAAATATCTTGGTCTGAGAATGGATAGTAATTTAACATGGAACAAACAGATAGAATATATAAAAAGCAAATTATCGTCGCTAACGGGTTCACTCTGTAACATAAATCAATGTATACCTAGGAAACTACGTTTCAATATTTACAATTCACTTATCAAATCTCATATATTATATTTAATAGAAATATGGGGCAGTGCCGCCAAAACGAAATTGCAGGAACTACAAAGAGCTCAAAATAAAGCAATAAAAATACTTTTCTCCTACCCATACTTAACATCGACTCGTAAAATTTTTGATGACACAAAAATAATGAACATTCGACAACTTTATATATATAGCACTTGCATTCTAATTAGGAAGATCATGAGTAAAAACATCCAAACTAGTTTGTCCTTTACCAAAAAGTCACAAATATCCAAACGCAGTCTTCGTCGACCTAGCTTGCTCGTATTGCCAAAGACACGTACCAAATTAGGGAAAAAAAATATTACCTTTGAGGGAGCACACTTTTATAACAGCCTACCTTCTCATATTAAAAATATAGATTCCTTTAACAAGTTCAAGTCTCAATTGCACAACTACATTCTTGAAAGCTACTGACTTGTAATTTCGGAGAGTGTCACGATGGAACTGTGAATACGGTGACCGTTACCTAGATTAAGTTTATATTATTGTTTCTCATGTAAGTGGATTATGTAATCTTTTTTGTGAGAATAAATTCTTTAAACCTAAAATAGGAGCGAAACATCTAAACCACTAAAATATCGTTGTGCAATGTGTTCCCTGTAAATATACTCGTAAAACTATGCACTGAACATCCCTGAAACTTATATAGCAAATACATTAAGCAATATTCGCCACAAACTGACGTCCACTCATTCTGAATCCTATCAACATTCCAGTTCCATCTTTTACAATTCCTTTTTAAAAACTCTAGATGATATCGTACAGGTGCCCGTCCGTATGTATCAAAATATTGACCGACGACATGGGCAGTCTATTAGCAGCATAAACATTACTTTCTAGACTGGGGTGAATCTTTTTCCGATGTTGTTGTACATCTATTGTATCCATGATACTACTGCTATTAGTAGATTATTACAGTACCAATCTACTCAATGACTAACATAGGGATTTTATATTTTATATTTTTTTTAAACGTTACCCCTACACTAAGATTTTCTCTTGTATCGTGGTGGCAGTTTACAAACATAAATTGCACAACGACAAACATCCAGACCCGGAACAACTATATGTAGGCCATACAAATACTTGTTCCGTGCGGGATTCGAACCCACGACCCCCAGCGCAGCTACTCATTGCTAAGCCACTGCGCCACGGAGTCGTTATCAATTGAATTGATGATCAATTATAGTGATTTATAAATATTAAATTGCATTCTTTTGTGTTATACAAATCGTATTTGAGTCATCGATACGTCGAACGAGACGCAACACGAAGCAATGTTGAGATAAGCAACAGAATGTGAGATAAGCTTGTTGACACAAAAAGTTACTTATCAGTTCCACTGCAGAAATTCTTTAGATTAGAATTATTACTTACTGGTGCTATATAAAACCAGGGCGCTGCAGTCATGGAGTTAGTGTATGGTCGTTTGACCGCAGTAGATCTATCAATATTTGTGTTACTTCAACGCATCAAAGGCCATGGATGTAAGTGTTTATTCTATTGACAAACTTACTTTTCTTTCTGTTATTTCTTACGTGTGTATGATTTAGTATTAACAAATTATATTTAAATATTATGTGTGTATATGATTAAGCCGTGGTAGCTCAGATGGTTAGCGCCAGCTGTAATTTCACAGTACGCGACCCGGGTTCGATCCCCGCCGGCACCAATTAAATTGTTAATTGCAATTTTAAGTGCTGATTTACCACCTGCTCTATCACGTGCTGGCGGTGAAGGAAAACATCGTGAGGAAACCTTCATGTATGAGAAAATTTCAAAGGCAAGTGAAGTTCGCCAACACGCATTGAGGCAGCGCGGCGGACATTTCCTAGCCCTGAATACAAAGAGAATAGCAGAAAGTGAAAAAGTCATTAAAAATAAAAAAAGTAAAGTGACAGCCTATATAAGTCCCACTGCTGGGCACAGGCCTCCCCTCATTTTCTGAGAGGGTTTAAAGTCATCAGTTGATCATTAATGAATGTGATCCTGTTTACTTAAATTACAGGAAGACAAGAGCAGAAGGAAGAGATGGGATGATGGGAAGTAATGAAGCATTGTTATGTGAAGTTTGTTGGTTAAAAGTATTTACACGTGACAAACATATTTTAGTCACGTGTAAATACTTTTAACTTTTTGGTTCAAAATGACACAAAATCTAAAAAATATTAGATACATACAATTTACATTACATATGCTCATAAACATTTTCAATGAAGAGAAATGGCTATTCTAGACGTAAAACTATCTAATAAAAATGATGCGTTTATCGATCATTATTTGTTTCGGTCAAGTTATCCTTTCAATTATTTGTCGCCAAAAGACAAAAAACTGTTCGTTATTGCGAAACACACGTGCACGGCATTCCATATTTTGACGTGACCGAAGAATTAAAATGTGCCTACAAACAAGAGAACATCATTCCCATATTAAATTGGTACATTAGAAATTTGTGCAAAGACGAAGTGATCGTATACAAAGGTGGTTCAGCGGAAAAACAATTTTTTAAAATGTTAACGATGAATGATAGAATTTTTAATATTGAAGAATACAAATGTCCAAAATACAAAAATTTGGTAAATGTCATAAATTTAAACAAACGTTATGTGTGTAATAATCATATATTTGCAAAAAATAATCACAAAATTTTACATTGTTCTTGTGATGAAGTGTGGGTTTTTTACAAGTGGTTATTGCTTGAAAATAAAATTTTAAATTAATCATAAATTTTGTTTGATTTCCCAAAAACATTAGTTAGGCAGTAGACAGACGTTCTTGCTAAAGAGGCGATAAGTGATGGGGAGAATTTTGACATTGTACCTTATTTCTCTGAACTCCTATCTAAAGTTCGTGAAAACTGCACAGAAAAGTGGTCAGAATACTTTGATGAAAGGTCACTGTCAAAAGGTATTTGGTACAAGACGATGCAACCGCATCTTTCCCGCTTCCTTTGGTTTGAAGGATGCAATATGGTAAGGCAAGAAATTATCACAGCAATGAGGCTTCGTTCCGGACATGTACCATTAAACAAATTTGCGTTTGTAACGAGAAAAGTGAATTCACCAAATTGTGACAAATGTGGAGTTGTGGAAGATATTATTCACATTATGATGGAATGTGAACGGAACGAAGCATATAGAAAGCAATTAGGTTTTGACAAAAATTGTGTTGGACTATATAATAGTATCCTAGCTTTTCCATTGTCGGATAAAGCTAGGAAACTTTATAAACTTGTATTATTAGGTATTAAGAACAGGTAATCTTTTGTTTACGTGAATTTATCATTGTCTGATTATGTATTTGATTGTGTACCTATGAGGGTGACTTGATCTAGTAGATCTAACCCTCTATAATAAATAAAGATTAAAAAAAAACTTCAGTTATAGTACACAGTATATATTAATTGTTTACACCATCACTTTCATTTTTTATTTCACCCCTAAGAACTTTAGACGTGTGTAATGTTTCACTTTATACATCCTTTTGCTGCTATTGTGGCTGGCCCATGTGGATGTGGGAAGTCAAATTTGTAACAAATTTCATAAAATCAGTTACAGAAATATGTAATTGTGATTTTAATCAGATCACATGGTGCTTTGGTGAAATGCAACCTTTATATAATTTACCAAATGTTAACTGTCATCAAGGAATTCCAAATCTTAATATGTTTAATGGTGAAAACCCACATCTTGTTATTATTGATGATCTAATGAGAGAGTCCGATGGAAGAATTGTGGATATATTTACAAAAGGTAGTCATCACAGGAAACTTAGTGTATTTTGTTCAACACAAAATTTATTTCATCAGGGTAAAGGGCAAAGAGACATATCTTTAAACTCAAGTTATATAATATATTTTAAAAACCCTCGAGATAAAAGTCAAATAAGATATTTAGCACGACAAGTGTCACCAGATAACCCAAAATTCACTGAAGACGTCTACAAGAATCCAACTCTAAAGGCACATGGATATTTAATGGTAGATTTAAAACAGAATACCAATGATTTTTGTCGTATCAAGACAAATGTCTTCCCATTTAATGGTTTCTGTCTATACAGAACCCTACGTCCCCGCAAAAGAGTTTAAATACACCAAGAATCAAACAATTCAAATCATTGCTAAATGATGCATCGTTGACTCACAACGCATAAATATTTGCTAAACGCTTTGCATACGCTTAAACCAAAATATCAAAGAGCATTACTTAAAACGTGTGTATTCATAACATTTTACATGGAAAAGTACCTCTTAAAGATCAAGATAAACAAAAATTGAATAAACACAAAAATATACTCCGTATACTAGTGCGTAAGTGTAAACATAAACTAAGAAAAAATATAATTATACAAAAAGGAGGGGCTTTCTTACTAATAATATTAGGTGCAATATTGAGTGGATTAGTGAGTGGACTAGCCAGTTAACATGGAAAATGCAAAGAAAATGATACTTATCGAACCTGGATTGACTGAAAAATTAAAACAAGAAAATAAGTTTAATAGTAATTTATCTCGATTAGATATTGAAATGCAAAATATTATGAATAGTAAGACGGAAGACCGAAAGAAATGGATGTTGTATTTACAAACACTGCAAAGATACCTTTATTTTACCGAAGAGGATCGTCAACCACTCAGATTACCAATTTATTCTGATACATCTAATGTAGATACTAATGAGTCTAAAATTGGTTTTAAAAATAAAGATAGATATCTAAAAACTTCAGTTGATGCTGAATTTTCGTTGAAAGACAATCGATCCATTAAAAGTAAAGAAAATGATGAAAATCCACTTTAAACACCAGCTCAAATACTCAGTTTAATACCAAAAACTTATAATAAAAAAGGACAGTTATTATTAAACTTAATTGAAACAAGTAAAAGTAAAATACATTGGGATAATGAAGGTACAGTCATAATTGATAATGAAAAACTTCCTGGAAGTAATATTGTTGATTTAATAAATGATTCACTAAGACCCTTAAAAAGAAGTGATCCAGTAGGGTGGGATAGATTTGCTGAAGCATTAAAAGATATTAAAGTACCACTTACTTATATTGGAAATCCAAAGAGATGTGAGTTTATTAACCAACTTTAAGCAAAAGATCTGAATAAACCCTCTGAGATTGAAGTTCAAGAGTTTTCTACACGGAGCAGTAGAGATAAAAAGTCTACAACTATAATACGTAAAAGGCTTGAGTGGGAAAAATTGACCCCGTACTAAAAGAAATTAACAGGATTTATTATGATCCATCTTATCCCGCTGGTTTTGGTAGTATTGATAAATTATCAAAAGCATTCCCTTACTTGCTTTTTATTCATTTTACCCTTCGGTAAAATGAATAAAAAGCAAGTAAAGGAATGGTTAAAATCACAAGAAACATACACATTACATAAACCCATTCGAAAAAAATTCCCGCGTAATAGGTACATTCTATCAAATATTAATGAAATGAAAACTGAAGCTGATTTAAGTGATATGCGAACTTATTCTCAATATAATGATGGTTTCAAGTATATACTTTGTGTTATTGATGTATTTAGTAAATATGCTTTTGCAAGACCAGAGACGACGAACGTTGTACCACTTCTGACTCAGTGAGCCAGAACTGGTACAACGTAACTACTAACAAGTGCTTAGTGAATGTGAACAGGCAATGACAAGAGATAAGTATGAATAAAATTCGCACTAACACTTGTCATTTATCATTTGCACTTGCCACTCGCACTTGTCACTTTTCAAAATGTAAACGATGCCTTAGTTTTGGGAGTCCTTCCTGATTCTGTTGAATATCTGACAGATATTTAATACAATCTGGCGTTACTTTTGTAACTAAGTATTGTTAATCTAAAATATCATTTTCAGACTTTGGAACGTAACCGAGGACTCAGACACGGAACGCTTTCAGTATTACTATGGCTTTATAGAACAAGTCGCCGATGTGTCCTTCAGGACTAATTTGCAAAATTTCTGGAAGTATCAGAACGACGATACGGTTAAGAATATAGATTTATTGCAATTGGCGCGAAATGTGCATCCAAATATGACGTTACCTGTCACCGTAACCCAGACTAATGAGAAGGTTAGATATATATAATACATTCTACGTAGTGGAAGCACATCAAAATTCAAACATAGTTTTATTTTTGATTGCACACAGACTTTTCAACGTGGTAGAGCCACGCTGCAGCTATATATCGTTGTAGCACGAATGGGTCTGCTCGTCCGAGGAAGGACCACACTCTCACAGACTACCAGCGTATAATAACAGCTTAATGCTGCTGTGTTTCATATGGCGAGTGTATAAAACTAGAGACTCTTTTTATTGGAAACGAGGCATCTCATCTCATCTCAGACCTCAATGATAACGACGCATCGGTATTTTGATTCTTAATTGAGGATAAATGTATATGTCTATGGGCCATAGCATCCTCATCCTTACCATCAGGTGGACTGTGTACTTGTTTGTCAACCTTATTCTATAAAGAGAAGACTTCCACTTCATTCCACAATTATAAAAATATTTTATGTAAATTAAAAATAACCACATTTCCAACAACTAGGTGCAGTGGATACCAGTAATGACTGAGGAAGGCGTGTGTCTGACGTTGAACTCAGTTTATGCGGAGTACCAGTTTCTACTGAAGGAAATTAAGTGGAAACAACAAGATTTGCTTAAGTGTCACTACCACAGCGAACAGTGCTTCGTGAGGATCGACTCTGCGAGTATCGAAGTCAGGGTAAGAGACGCTGGGACTTATGTGACTCTCCTTATTTCGGTTACACTTTTTCCCAACCCAGATAGGTTAATAAAAAACTGAAAGTGTTACATGCAACTCATCAAGCACGGAATAGTTTTTATTTTATAGAAATGGGTGACAAATAAGCACACAGTTCACCTTAAGGTAAATGGATGCTGTGGCCCGCAGACATATGAATTTATCCTCAAAATGCAGATGCGTTGTCACCCCTGAGGACTAAGATAGAATGCCACGTTTCCAGAAAAAAGGGTCTCTCGTTCACTACACCCATACGAAACACAGCAGCATTAGGCTGCTATTTTAACTTGCTTTGAAATCAGAGCAAATAATATCTTTACCATTTTCCATATTGTCCAGGCGATCAATAAACTGATAAAACCATCGAACTGATGACTATTGGGAAAAAAATGAAATCCTCATACGGGTATCTATATATCCCTCATACGGGGACCGTCACTCTATATACTGAAGATTGTCTAACTGACTAACGAAACCACAACGAACTGTGTCCCACAGACATGTGATGGATTAATGATGACGGTGATGATTTTATTGTCCCACTTTAGTATGGTAGCCTGATCACTTTAACTATACGTGGTAGAGCCATGCTGCAGTTACAATGGTAGTACAGTTGTAGCACGAATGGGTCGGCTCCACCGGGGAAGGACCATGCTCTCACAGAATACCAGCGTAAAATAGTAGCTTAATGCTGCTGTGCTTCGTATGGTGAGTGTAGAGAACCGGAGACCCTTTTTACTAGAAAAGAGCAAGACTGACAACGCATCTTCGTTTTGATTCGCAAACGAGGATAGATGTAGATGTCTATGGGCCACAGCAACCACTTACCATCAGGTGGACTGTGTGCTCGCTTGTCACCCTTTTCCTATAAAAAATAAATAAATAAAAAAACTACGGTTGGACATAATAGTTCGTCATATTTACAGCAAAAAAGTGGAATAAGTTGTCAGCATTTGGCTTTCGTGCCGTGGTAGCTCAGATGGTTAGAGTTCGCTGTAAATTTCACAATACGCGAGCAAACCGGGTTCGATCCCCGCCAGCACCAATGAAACAAATCAACACTTAAATTGTTAATTGCAATTTAAGTGTTGATTTACCACAAGCTCGTCGGTGAAGAAAAACATCGTGAGGAAACCTGCATGTCTGAGAAATAAGAAAAAAAATATTTCGAAGACATGTGAAGTTCGCCAACACGCATTGGGGCAGCGCGGCGGACTATTCCTTACCCTAAAACCCTCTCAGAAATGAGAGGAGGCCTGTGCCCAGCAGTGGGACGTATATAGGCTGTAACTATATATACTATATATTTGTCTTTCCATCCGATTACAATGTGGGTGTCTCCTTGTCAAGAGTGAGTAGGCTTTTGTTAAGTCAGGTGGGTTTGTAGTTCAGTGTTGGTTTAGAATAGTAAAAAAAAAATTGTTGATCCTGCAGCCCATCTCTGGAAATTCCCGCTAATTTCAAATGCAAAGTGCTCCAAATTTCACTAAATTACGACGGACTCTAAGTTATGTTAAAAAAAAAACGTTTTTTTTTCGAATTCCTTCACCATCGATATCTCACGAACTTTTATTTTCCAAACGGCATTCGACGTCATTTTTTGAGGGTAAGAGCTGATTGGTTTTTGAAGTCGATCAGTAAAGCCGTTTTAAAGTTATTAAAATTACAGTTTTTTTTAAGATTTTTAAAATCTACTCGTTCAAATCAGTTCATATTATCACCAAATCTATTCCACATTGAGATCTTTGAAACGCCGCAATGCCGCAAACCGCATCTCAATCGATCAAGACGTTCAAAAGTTATGAAAGGTTTACATACTTACACACACACACACACACACACACACACACACGCACACACACACACACACACACACACACACACACACACACACACATCCGTACGGAAGTCCACGTGAAATTAATCAGAATAGCTTCCTGGGATCTCAAAACGTCGAGATCTGTTGAAAACTCGATTTTCGAAAATCGGGGTGAAACCAATAACTTCCCTATTTTTGAAAATTTTAAATTTTCTTAGCGGGATGTTAATAAAATTTAAGGGATTAGATTTATTAGATTAAAAAAAAGTATAGTAGAGAAATAATTTTTTATCTGTGTCCAGTATTTCGTGCATTCGCCTTACGATATAGCGACAGCAATATCGAATCCAACAGGCGAAGTGATGCCGGGTGAAGAGCTGCTTATCGATTTTAAGGTTTGTTACAATTTTATCAATTTATTTTTCATCTATAAAACTATGATCAGGTAAGCGGCCAGTGACACCCATGGTAAGTAAGCGGTTATACTTGAAATAATTAAATATTTTAGAAATCAAACCACTGTAAGGCATTTAAACAATTCAAAAAGAAGTCATGTTTTTCTGGTCTATGCTCTATAGATATGTATTTATTTAGTTGTTTTCAATAGTTTAAATACATAGTGTACTATAGACGACTTCGTATTAACTCCAGCACGATCTCTGTGTATTTTTATATATACTTAACATATATCTAAACACTCACGCCCGCATCAATGCAGAGCGCCTCGAATCGTTGTCGACTAAGATTTCTGATCGGATAATTCACTGGCGCTGCGAAAAAATGTTATACGCCTTTGCATTTTCTATCGCATTTACGAAGGCGAGTGCTCTGAAGAATTGTTTGGATTCCAGACGCCAAATTTTACCAACGCGAATCGCGACAAAACTCAAGTTACGATCTACATCATCTGGATGCTTAGTGGTCAACTACTGTGTGATTTACAAGGAGTTTTCTTCCTCACACGGCTACTTTATGGAATCGTTTACCATCGGCGAATTATCCGGACCCATACGACTTAGGGACCTTTAAGAAACTAGCTTATTCCTTTTTAAAAGGCCGACACGAACCTGAAATTGCCCTGGTGTTGCAGTTGTTTGTGAGCGGTGATCAACAATTACCACCAGGTGAGCTGCATGCTCATACCCCCCCCCCTATTTATAAAAAAGGTTGATCAACCTTCAAGTTAATGTTCATCTGACATCTGACGGACTGGACTGGACGCACTGATTCGAGAGCTCAGCAGCATGCGTGTCGGCTGCCATATCGGCAAGGTGTGTGTTAACAATATCAGCTACGCGGACGATAAAGTTCTGCTGCACCCTCAGTTAATGCGATGAGAGCTCTACTCGGTGTTTGTGAAAAATTTGCTGTCTCACATGGTTTACTATACAATACCCAAAAGTCGCATTTCGTGGTATTTAAGGCTGGCAGTAAATGTCCTAGTGTGGTAACACCTACAAAGCTCTATAATGAACCACCTGTTCGCCAAGCGAGCGCGCGACATGTTATACTCCCGTTCGCTCGGGACCGTAATGGCGGGAAAATTTGAAAATTAGCAAATTTTTTTGCTATATTGCAAATTTTGCTATATTTTCACTTTGAGACAATATTTATGGATAAAACTTACAGGAATTCTTGTTGAATGTATAAACTATCGAATAAAATTATTTTTGGTTGCTAGAAATTGTAATAAAATACGTAAATTACCCTGTATAGCTGTATAGTGGTATATACTTCAATTTTAGTGACAAAATTACTACTAATTTGAATTCTACACTTTTGTTTTTAGAGAAATTTATATGAAAATGTTTGGAAATATGTATATTTTTATGTTTTATGTGTTTCCATTCGTTACTCATACCAAAATATTGAAATATTAAAAAATTAAAAAAAAAATAATAATATTTTATCTGTGGGACATTTAGAACAATATTTCTAAAATAGTTTTGTGTGAATTTGAAATAAATACAACGTCAAGTTATTTGAAATATGTAAGAAAACTATTTTTACTTACATTTTACACTAAAAATAAATGAGAATTTGAAAAATAACACATTTATGACCCAGCCGCCATAATGGGCCTTCCAGATTTTGAAGCACTTTTGGCAATTTACTTTTCACTTTTTATACCACAAATTATATATATATATGTGTTCACTATATTACAAGGAATATAAAAAAGTATAATACTTTCGTTTTTAGTCCAGACACAAATATAAAATTCTATAAAAAAAAGACGGAGCACCTTCATCAAAACGACACGTGGAACGCCGAAAGTTCAGAGTGATTTCTTTTTTTTTTTCGGAGAAACATTGCCAGGTTATGGTTTAAAATAAAAGAGCATATCTTTGTCTTTGATACTATTATCTATTGCATAGTGTCTTTGGTTTTGTTTAAAACGAAAAAATAGTTTTTTCATAGGTACACACGTTTACATAATTCTGATCAAATTAGATCACTGCTTGGCGGACGTAAGGTAGGTATTGTACGATCAAAAGTGCGCATGGCTTGGCTTACAGGCTAGAAAGGGTTTTAAATATCTTGGACATATTGTGATTGACAGCCTTAAAGACGATGAAGACATTGAAAGAGAACGTAGGGCACTGTCGGTCAGGGCGAATATCTGTCAATAGCTGTCAAGATCACGCTTTTCAAAACATATTGTGCGTCATTTTATTTTTGCAGTCTATGGACCAACTAAACCAAAAAGGCTTATAGTGCCCTACGTAATCAATACAACAAGGCATTCAGGGCGCTATTGCGACTGCCGTGCTACTGTAGCGCGTCTGCGATGTTTGCACTGGCGGGTGTGGATAGTTTTGATGCAATAATCCGAAAAAAGACGGCATCTTAGCTAAACAGAGTGCGCGGCAGCGGCCACAGTGTGCTGAGTGACATTGCCGACAGTGGGGACTGTCCACTTATCAAAAATATGATCTCCAGGACCATGTCCTGCTTAATAATTAAATATAAATAAAATAAATATTTAAAAAAAAATTATATTCTTATTACTAACATAGATGTAAGTTTTTCTCTACTAACAATTCCTAAGGATTTCAAGTTGTCCGAAATAAACAATTTTATTTATTTTATTTAGGTTGTGGAGATTCAAGCTGCAATACGTTTGAAGTCCTTAACTCCAGAGCAAAGACGTTGCCGATATCCTGATGAATGGCTAAGCAATTCCATTAAGGTAACTAGCTGAATTGGTTAGAAATCTTTACACTCAACTAAAGAAAATAAACTAGCAGCGGTGTAAGAATATCCATTAACCCACATCATCCCTTGAGTGTCGTTAAAGGGGACAGAGGGAAATTTTTACGTGGTAGAAGCATGCTGCAGTTATATTAGTATTATAGTTGTAGCACGAATGGGTCGGCTCGACCGGGGAAGGACCACACTCTCACAGAATACCAGCGTCAAATAGCAGCTTAACGCTGCTGTATTTCGTATGGTAAGTGTAGTAGTAGGTGGAGACCCTTTTTACTGTAAACGAGGCATTCCATCTTAGTCCTCACGGATGACAACGCATCTGCATTTTGATTCGTGATCGAGGATAGATGATGAAAAGACAAATGAGCACACAGTGCACCTGATGATAAGTGGATGCTGTGGCCCATAGACATCTACATTTATCCTCGATTAAGAATTAAAATGTAGACGCGACACCCTTGAGGACTAAGATGGAATGCCTCGATCCCAGTAAAACGGGTCTCCGGTTCTCTACACTCACCATACGAAACACAGAACCATTAAGCTGCTATTTACGCTGGTGTTCTGTGAGAGGTCGAGTTGACACATTCATGCTACAACCGTAGTAGCTGCAGTGTGGCACTACCACGTAATATGAGAACATCATCAATGTAGTCAAAATCAATTAAATATGCATTATTAAGTATAACTCAAACAAGTATAAAAAAAACTACTGGTCAGATCGTAATCAAATTTATATGAGACCACATGAAAAGCACCAGCTTTGAAATAAAAAAAAGAATGATTTCTTTTTCTTATATTTACGCGAACACTGCACATTGAAATAATACTAGTTTTTACGGAATTTATCGCATATATTTAACTTTTTAAATACCCGACGTTTCGAGGGCTTTACAGCACCATGGTCACGGGAAGGACTGAGGTGTTCAACGTTCAGATGTCATAGTTAACCACGGTTACCATGGATTAAAATTTAACTTTTGTTCCGATCTACACAGTATGAACTTATAGTATCCTGAAGTCTTGCAGTTGTATGCTTGGGTTGGGATTTAATTTTATTTATTATCGGATCCCAAGCAGATGGTAGCACCCAGCCATCTTCTCTATTGAAATTAGGATGTTTTTTGATTTCAATAGCCTCGCGAATCATCCTTGGAAGGAATCGGTGTTCTTTAGCGAGGATTTGTGTTCTATCAAATCTGATGTAGTGACGGGGGCGATCCTGTACGTGTTCACAGACTGCAGACTTCCCGGAGCGTCGATTCTTCACATCAGCTATATGTTCTTTAACGCGGGTTAACATTCACAATCAAGCTTGTACACTCCTGCATCTTGCAGAGGGACATTACACTTGACTGATGGTGAAAACTGACTGTTATGTATGTAAGATGCGACCGCTATTGAAATACATTCAGTGTGTCACCAGCCACAGCGCGTTTCACTCGTATCCCCCGCAACACAATATCTAACAGTGGCGACGAGCCTTACCCTCGTATTAAAAAAAAAAAGATGTCGAACGGAAATTTCGGTATTTTGTCTGTTTTCGATCATAGTGTACAGTCTTGGAAAACTTACAAGAACAGACTTACACAGTGGTTCATAGCGAACGACATTGATATAGTTAATGATCCAGCGGGAATCAAGAGGCGAGCGATCTTGCTGAGCGCACTCACCGAGGGCTCATATAAGTTAGCGTCGGACTTGGCCCTTCCAAAAGAGCTACAAACAGTGCCCTATGAAGACATTTTAGGATTGCTAGATGCGCATTTCATCCCCAAACAGGTTGGGTTTGGAGAGCGTCATAAGTTTTATACTGCTACCCAACTACATGGCGAAACACCGTCGCAGTGGGCCGCGAGATTACGTGGACTTACCGCTAACTGTCAGTTTTCGAACGTGGAGGAGGCGCTACGTGATCGTTTTATTATGGGGATGCTGCCGGGAGTTGAAAAGGAACGCATATACGCACAAGACTTCACGACCTTGACCTTAGTGAATGCGGTTGATATGGCTGAAAGTATGCGCAATGCGCGCGACGCCGCGAGCAGCGCTGGCGTCGGCGCCGCCGCCGAGCAACAGCTCTTCAAAATTAAGAAGAGAGAAGGTGAAAAGGTGAAGTGTGCAGTGTGTGGATACTCAAATCATAAAACGGCTGACTGTCGCTATGCTGACTATACCTGTAAAAAGTGTAAAGTTAAAGGGCATTTACGTAGAATGTGCACAAAAGTGAATTATGTGTTGGCAGATGATGTAGGCAAGGAGGACGACGGTGAGTTATTTAATATTCGATCGCTTAGAGGTGAACCTATGGTAGAAACCGTATCTGTTAATGGGGTAAATTTAAGGTTCGAAATAGATAGTGGGTCAGCAGTAACGGTAATTTCTGAAAAAACATACAAAACTCATTTTAACGACGTGCCATTGTCAGCTACCGATAAAAGGTTAATGAGCTATACCGGTAGCGAGATAGCCTGCACGGGCGTCGCGACCGTGTCGGTGCGGTTCGGAGGCAGCACGCGCCCGCTGCGCCTGTTGGTAGTGCGGGGCGGGGGGCCGCCGTTATTAGGAAGAGATTTTATTTCTTTGTTTAGATTACAACTGACACCGGTTAATTACTGTCAAGAAATTCAAAATGAAATTGACTCATTACATTTACGGTATCCCGAAACTTTTTCAGGTAAACTAGGTTGTTTTAATAAATACAAAGTAACCCTTACCTTAAAAGACGATGCCCGTCCATGTTTTTTTAAAGCCCGTCCTATGGCTTTCGCTTTGAGGGAAAAGGTCGACAAAGAAATCGATAAAATGGTGGAAATGGGAGTACTCCGTTCCGTAGAATATTCGGAATATGCGTCTCCCATCGTTCCAGTTTTAAAGCGAGATGGCACCGTGCGGATATGCGCCGATTATTCAGTTACCATTAATAAACAACTCGTCGTAGAACAATACCCCTTACCGACAATTAACGAGTTATTTTCAAAATTGTACGGTGGTAAACAATTCACAAAGTTAGATTTATCAATGGCTTACAACCAATTTTGTTTAGATGAATCTCAAAAAATAACATGTATAAACACACACCGCGGCCTATACGTATATACGAGGCTCGTGTTCGGTTTGGCGTCAGCTCCGGCGGTGTTCCAACGCGCCATGGAGTGCGTGGTAGCAGGGCTACCGGGGGTGCTGTGCCTGCTCGATGACGTGCTGATCACGGGCCGCGACGACCAAGAGCACATGGATCGGCTGAATGCGGTGCTGCAGCGGCTGCAGGATGCAGGCTTGACGTTGAACAAAGATAAGTGCGAATTTTTCAAGGACGAAATAAAATATTTGGGTTACGTCATTACTAAGAACGGACTAAAAAAATCGCCAGAAAAGGTTAAGGCAATCATAGAGGCACCCGTGCCTACGAACGTTTCACAGCTGCAATCCTTCTTAGGATTAGTAAACTACTACAGAAGTTTCGTCCCGGGCGCCTCAACAATTTTATCTCCTTTGTACGATTTGCTAAAAAAAGGGCACAAAATGGAATTGGAGTAAATTACATGAGAAAACTTTCAATAAGATTAAAAAAATATTGATTTCGGAACGGACATTAGCTCATTTTAATCAAAATGCAAAACTCTATTTAACTGTCGACGCGTCACCAAATGGCTTAGGCGCGATATTATCGCAAATCGACGATGACGGATTAGAAAGGCCGATATCTTATGCGTCTCGTACCTTAAATAGCGCCGAGAAAAGATATTCTCAGATACAAAAGGAGGCAACTGCGATAATATTCGGCGTGCGTCGGTATCATCAATACCTATACGGCCGGTCGACTCCATTCACATTACGGACAGACCACAGACCGTTATTGTCAATTTTTGGTTCACATAAAGGCATACCGGAGGTATCCGCAAACAGATTGCAAAGGTACGCACTGTTCCTAAGTGCTTATAATTATGTAATAGAATATGTGCGTAGTTGTAATAATAGCGCAGACTTCCTTTCGCGAGCAAGTGTTGAGGACTCTGTCGAAGAGTCGGGACACAAGGAAGAGCTGGATAGGGCAGCCTATGTGTGTTTTGTGACGCAAGGTAGTTTTCCCGTGACAGCAGACCAGCTTCGGCAGGCTACGGCTAATGACGCGACCCTGACTAAGGTTATTCATTACATACAAAAGGGTTGGCCAAAGCGGGTTAAAGATACAGAAATTAATCCGTATTATCAATGTAGGATACAACTATCGTACGAAAACGGGTGTGTACTTCGAGGCCATAAGGTGGTGATCCCCTTTTCCTTGAGGCAACGTGTTTTATCGGAATTGCACAATTCTCACCTCGGTATTGTAAAAACCAAAGCCGAGGCTCGATCACGGTTTTGGTTTCCGAGGATTGATGACGAGCTGGAAAAGATGATTGGGGCCTGCGAAGTTTGTGCACAGTTGCGAGCATCACCGCCGCGGATACCTATGTCACCGTGGCAGTTACCTCCCCGACCATTCTACAGGATACACCTGGATCTGCTGGGTCCGATAAACGGCCGTATGTATCTGGTCATAGTCGATGCCTACTCGAAATGGGTCGAGGTATTCGATATGTGTACCACAACTACTTCTGGTGCGGTAATAGACAAAATGCTCGAGTTTGTGTCTAGGTTCGGAATACCTCACACCTTGGTTTCTGATAATGGCACATCGTTTTGTTCCGAAGAATTCAATAGATTTTGTAATTTAAATGGTATAAAACATGTGAAGTCGCCTGCATATCATCCGGCTAGTAATGGTCAAGCCGAGAGCTATGTGAAAATTGTTAAAAAGGGTATTAAATCTAGTCTCGCAACAAGTAAAAATTCAAGAGAATGTAAAATAAGTATTTTACAATATCTTTTCAATTACCGTAATTCGATTCATTCTACCACAGGTTCATCACCAGCTCACCTAGTTTTTGGGCACAAATTAAGATCGCGGTTAGACCTAATTAATCCAATACAGCC